AATCAGTGCTATTTAGACCCGTTAATCCGACAGTCTCGCACTCCGACTCCGGCACACCAAATTTGCAACGAATTACCGAAATCACTCATCAATCAGTCTTGTTAATCCGACTCAGTGATCAGCGTACTACGTGGTCATCTGCCCGCGAGTACACAGCCAGTGTTTAGATGCGAGACAAGTCGGCTGGTAGCTGCATATTACAAAGCTGCAGAGGTAAACTTTGCTTAACAATTAACAATTAATGCTTTAAATAAAGAAAACAGGATTAATCACATGCTTAGATTACCTCAATCTCATTAAAATCAGAAACAAGTTCTCCCTATCGCTGAAGACATCCCATTACAGGTCACGTCAGAACAACCTTTCGCGAACTATAACCGACCAATGAAATGACTAACAACGTCAGCCACTTAGAAAGCAGCTCTCTTAAGCCTTGTGGTACCAGTTTCAAACTTGCGACTTCCATTCCAGACTATGCTTTATAAAGTATTTTGAATTAGTCATACAGTCTGTAACAGTTGTTTTGTGTTGAGCTTTAGAGGGTTGCATGATTACAAAACATATTCCGTTAACAATGTAACATAACAATATGAATATTTCCTTTTTATCTTTTTATTACGTGTTTGTATCCTTATCTATCGTGTGGTTGTCTGATTTTCTGTCACAAACGCTGATACTACTTAATTTCGTTATCCGACATACTCGTTTATCCAACATAATCATATGCAACCAACCATGTCGGATTAACAGAACTTAACTGCATATGCTCTATGCTGATAGTGAGTGAGTGAGTGAGGTTTTACGCCGCTTTTAGCAATATTCCAGCAATATCACGGTGGGGGACACCAGAAATGGGCTTCTCACATTGTATCCATGTCGGGAATCGAACCCGGGTCTTCGGTGTGACGAGCTAACACTTTAACCACTAGGCTACCCAACCACCCTCTATGCTGATAACCAAATATGGTTATAAGAACCTTTGTATTCGTTATAACCGTAGTCTACTGGGTGTATATAGAGCATGTACCTCCAAGGACTGCAGTTCGAGTCAAGTCATGAACGACAGTCAGAAATATTGCTACATAAAACCACAAAGTATAAACAAAACATAAGAATAAGTGAAATAAAATTATTAGCAGATATTCAAACATGGGGTTAGTTGTAATTAGTACAAATATAAGAATTACCTTGAAGAAAGAACTCATGCAAAAATATAAAAAAGAACAAAATATGATTTTATTCATGTTGATAAAGGTAGAACTAGTATGTACAAATCAAGACAGCATGTCCCAGGAACCCTCATGTCACCATGACATGTACACAGTGATGAGGTCAAGGAGAACGGGTGTTCAGATAATGGAACATGAACTATGTACTACATGCCGAGGGGCGGTGGGGATAGCCTAGTGGTTAAGGTGTTTGCTCGTCATGCCGAGGGTTCAATTCCCAACATGGGTACAATATGTGAAGCCCGTTCCTGGTGTCCCCCACCGTGATATTCCTGGTAAATTGTTAAAAGCGGCGTAAAACCATACTCACTCACTCACTCACTCACTACATGCCGAAACAGAAGCAGACAATTTAGGAGATAAACATACTGTGTTTTCAATAAAGAACTAAGTTACCTGTAGATTTAACCACGCTAAATTGTGAATTTGGAACCGAACACGCAGCGTGAGGTTTCAAATGTTAAATTTAGTGTATCAAACTCTATGGTGTTAGCAAACACATTGAGTGAAGTGGCATGGGATGAGTGGGTGAGCGAGTGAGGTTTGACGCCGCTTTTAGCAATATTCCAGCAATATCATGGCAGGGGACACCACAAATGGGCTTCACACATTGTACCCATGTCTGGAATCGAACCCAGGTTTTTGGCGTGACAAGCGAACGCTTTAACCTCTAGGCTACTTGACCGCCCCTGAAGTGGCATGGGTTGAGGCCAGGGTATTGTGTGGATTGTCAATTTGAACAACAGAATAACTGACAACAGCCTTACAAAGAATATGGAGCTGCATATGCTCAAGCAGTTTGTTTAGACCGTAATACTTTGCTTGCACATAGGACAGGCATTGAAAGCATCTAGCACGGCAACTTGGTAGGCTAACATGAGGTGGACGCCCCTAGCTAAAACTAAGCAAGCTGTGCAAAGCTTTTGTTCTACCCCATACGTCACCGTTGTGACGTCTTTCGCTCATTGTCACGCAAAAGATATGACATCCCAGTCAAATATAGAAAAGCACCCAATACAAGCTCTCTGTTGTCCCCAAAACTTAAAACATATTCTCTTTGTAGATTTCTATTGTGTTTTCTGCACACAATGTATTGCCACACATCCTTTGAATATTGTAGAAACAGCAAATTTGCCAAGGGGAAAATGTTGACACCTGCGATCAGCTATGTTGTTTCAGGGGCTAAGGAGAAGATATCGACACCTGTCATCAGCTATGTTGTTTCAGGGGCCAAGGGAAAGATATCGACACCTGTCATCAGCTATGTTGTTTCAGGGGCCAAGGGGAAGATATCGACAACTGCGATCAGCTATGTTGTTTCAGGGGCCAAGGGAAAGATATCGACAACTGCGATCAGCTATGTTGTTTCAGGGGCCAAGGGAAAGATATCGACACCTGCGATCAGCTATGTTGTTTCAGGGGCCAAGGGAAAGATATCGACACCTGTCATCAGCTATGTTGTTTCAGGGGCCAAGGGAAGATATCGACACCTGTCATCAGCTATGTTGTTTCAGGGGCCAAGGGGAAGATATCGACAACTGCGATCAGCTATGTTGTTTCAGGGGCCAAGGGAAAGATATCGACACCTGCGATCAGCTATGTTGTTTCAGGGGCCAAGGGAAAGATATCGACACCTGTCATCAGCTATGTTGTTTCAGGGGCCAAGGGGAAGATATCGACAACTGCGATCAGCTATGTTGTTTCAGGGGCCAAGGGAAAGATATCGACACCTGCGATCAGCTATGTTGTTTCAGGGGCCAAGGGAAAGATATCGACACCTGTCATCAGCTATGTTGTTTCAGGGGCCAAGGGGAAGATATCGACAACTGCGATCAGCTATGTTGTTTCAGGGGCCAAGGGAAAGATATCGACACCTGCGATCAGCTATGTTGTTTCAGGGGCCAAGGGAAAGATATCGACACCTGTCATCAGCTATGTTGTTTCAGGGGCTAAGGAGAAGATATCGACACCTGTCATCAGCTATGTTGTTTCAGGGGCCAAGGGAAGATATCGACACCTGTCATCAGCTATGTTGTTTCAGGGGCCAAGGGAAAGATATCGACACCTGTCATCAGCTATGTTGTTTCAGGGGCTAAGGAGAAGATATCGACACCTGTCATCAGCTATGTTGTTTCAGGGGCCAAGGGAAGATATCGACACCTGTCATCAGCTATGTTATTTCAGGGGCCAAGGGGAAGATATCGACACCTGTCATCAGCCTTGTTGTTTCAGGGGCCAAGGGGAAGATATCGACACCTGCGATCAGCTATGTTGTTTCAGGGGCCAAGGGAAAGATATCGACACCTGTCATCAGCTATGTTGTTTCAGGGGCCAAGGGGAAGATATCGACACCTGCGATCAGCTATGTTGTTTCAGGGGCCAAGGGAAAGATATCGACACCTGTCATCAGCTATGTTGTTTCAGGGGCTAAGGAGAAGATATCGACACCTGCGATCAGCTATGTTGTTTCAGGGGCCAAGGGAAAGATATCGACAACTGCGATCAGCTATGTTGTTTCAGGGGCCAAGGGAAAGATATTGACACCTGCGGTCAGCTATGTTGTTTCAGGGGCCAAGGGAAAGATATCGACACCTGTCATCAGCTATGTTGTTTCAGGGGCTAAGGAGAAGATATCGACACCTGTCATCAGCTATGTTGTTTCAGGGGCCAAGGGAAGATATCGACACCTGTCATCAGCTATGTTGTTTCAGGGGCCAAGGGGAAGATATCGACAACTGCGATCAGCTATGTTGTTTCAGGGGCCAAGGGAAAGATATCGACACCTGTCATCAGCTATGTTGTTTCAGGGGCCAAGGGAAAGATATCGACACCTGTCATCAGCTATGTTGTTTCAGGGGCTAAGGAGAAGATATCGACACCTGTCATCAGCTATGTTGTTTCAGGGGCCAAGGGAAGATATCGACACCTGTCATCAGCTATGTTGTTTCAGGGGCCAAGGGAAAGATATCAACACCTGTCATCAGCTATGTTGTTTCAGGGGCCAAGGGGAAGATATCGACACCTGCGATCAGCTATGTTGTTTCAGGGGCCAAGGGAAAGATATCGACACCTGTCATCAGCTATGTTGTTTCAGGGGCTAAGGAGAAGATATCGACACCTGTCATCAGCTATGTTGTTCCAGGGGCCAAGGGAAAGATATCGACACCTGTCATCAGCTATGTTGTTTCAGGGGCCAAGGAGAAGATATCAACACCTGTCATCAGCTATGTTGTTTCAGCGGCCTTCCCTTGGTGTCGACACCTCAAGGAAGCCGGAATCTCACTGACAAGTCACAATTCCACTGTCAGTTGCGTAAAGTGAGTGAGTGAGTATGGTTTTACGCCACTTTTAGCAATATTCCAGCAATATCACGGCGGGGGACACCAGAAATGGGCTTCTCACATTGTACCCATGTCAGGAATCGAACCCGGGTCTTCGGCGTGACGAGCGAACACTTTAACCACTAGGCTACCCAACCGCCCCGTTGCATAAAGAAAGTAAAACAAATCAAAACCAGGGAACACCCGCCCACTTAACTGAGCAATCTATCCTGTGTTCATGAAACTATCCTTCGTGCAGGTACCAATTTCCCATGGCTTGCGTCAATGTTATCACTATTGTATTGAGAAGGATGAGTGGATTTCCCTGGAGCACCATATTAATGTGTGGTTAGGAAACAAGAACATTACAAAGTGTAATCAATCCACGAGATTCACACAGTGCCACATCCACAGTGCCAGGCCGAGGGGTGCCACAAGGACAGATGCTTACGATGAGATCTCCGCCTCCCCTGTCTCCAGCAGCTCCGTCTTAGGCGGAAGTCGGCCTGTGGAACAAACACACCATCAGATATATCACATAGCTACAAGATCAGAATTAGATGATCACATGGTTACAGGGTGAGATCAGATGATCACATGATTACAGGGTGAGATAAGATGATCCAAGGTTACAGGGTGAGATTTGATGATCACATAGTTACAGGGTGAGGTTAGATGATCACATAGCCACAGGGTGAGATTAGATGATCACATAGCCACAGGGTGAGATTAGATGATCACATAGCCGTAGGGTGAGGTTTGATGATCACATAGCCACAGGGTAAGGTTAGATGATCACATAGCCACAGGGTGAGATTAGATGATCACATAGCCACAGGGTGAGGTTAGATGATCACATAGCCACAGGGTGAGATTAGATGATCACATAGCCGTAGGGTGAGGTTTGATGATCACATGGTTACAGGTTGAGATTAGATGATCACATGGTTACAGGGTGAGACTAGATGATAACATGGTTACAAAGTGAGATTAGATGATCACATGGTTACAGGGTGAGATTAGATGATCACATAGCAATAGGGTGAAATTAGATTATCACATGGTAATAGGGTGAGATTAGATGATCAGAGTCACAGGGTGAGATTAGATGATCACATGGTTACAGGGTGAGATTAGATGATCACATGGCTAGAGGGTGAGATTAGATGATCACATGGTTACAGGGTGAGATTTGATGATTACATGGTTACAGGGTGAGATTAGATGATCACATAACTACAGGGTGAGAGAAGATGATCACATGGCTAGAGGGTGAGATTAGATGATCATATGGTTACAGGGTGAGATCAGATGATCACATAGTGACAGGGTGAGATTAGATGATCACATGGTTACAGAGTGAGACTAGATGATCACATGGTGACAGGGTGAGATTAGATGATCACATGGTTACAGGGTGAGACTAGATGATCATATGGTTACAGGGTGAGATTAGATGATCACCTGGTTACAGGGTGAGACTAGATGATCACATGGTAACAGGGTGAGACTAGAATATCATATGGTTACAGAGTGAGACTAGATGATCACATGGTTACAGGTGAGACTAGATGATCATATGGTTACAGAGTGAGACTAGATGATCACATGGTTACAGAGTGAGACTAGATGATCACATGGTGACAGGGTGAGACTAGATGATCACATGGTAACAGGGTGAGACTAGATGATCATATGGTTACAGGGTGAGACTAGATGATCACATGGTTACAGGGTGAGATAAGATGATCACATGGTTACAGGGTGAGGTTAGATGATCAGAGTCACAGGGTGAGATTAGATGATCACATGGTTACAGGGTGAGATTAGATGATCACATGGCTACAGGGTGAGATTAGATGGTCACATTGTTACAGGGTGAGATGTGATGATCACATAGTGACAGGGTGAGATTAGATGATCACATGGTTACAGGGTGAGATTAGATGATCACATGGTTACAGGGTGAGATTTGATGATCACATGGTTACAGGGTGAGATTAGATGATCACATGGTTACAGGGTGAGATAAGATGATCACATAACTACAGGGTGAGAGAAGATGATCACATGGCTAGAGGGTGAGATTAGATGACCATATGGTTACAGGGTGAGATTTGATGATGATATGGTTACAGGGTGAGATTAGATGATTAAATAGCAACCGGGCAAGATAAGTTGATCATATGGTTACAGGGTGAGATTAGATGATGATAAGCTACAGGTTGAGATTAGATTATCACATAACTAGAGGGTGAGATTAGATCATCAGAGTCACAGGGTGAGATTAGATGATCACATTGTTACAGGGTGAGATTAGATGATCACGTAGCAACAGGATGGGACAAGATGATCACCTAGCAACTGGGCAAGATTAGATGATGACACAACTCCAGGGTGAGACAAGATGATCACATGGCTACAGGTTCACAAGTAGATGATCACATTGCAACTGAATCAATATATTATGGGTCTCATATCTGCAGCCAGAAATCAGTGAGAATGTAGATGATATCAAATACAGTTGGTTGGTTGGTTTGTTGTTTAACGCTGCACTCAGCAATATTCCAGCTCTATGACAGCGGTCTGTAAATAATCCAGTCTGAACCAGACAATCCAGTGATTAATATCATGAGCATCGATCCACGCAATTGGGAAACGATGACATACATCAACCAAGTCAGCAAGCCTGACCACCCGATCCCGTTAGTCGCCTCTCACAACAAGCATAGTCGCCTGTTGTTGCTGAAGATCTATTCTACCCCTGATCTTAATCCGACATCCAAGTCGATATCACATACAGATGACACAAACCCAAGAAAGAGTATCTCACCTATGTGTTCGTTGATGGACTCACTCTTGGCGATGGCCATTAGAAAGCCATAGAAGGACACCCGGGGAACCGTGAAGAGAATCTCCTTCAGTGCTGACACAGGTGGTGTGCTGTGGGGGAAAACTACCCAGTAAACATCACATGACAGACACGTTCTTTAAATACTTCACAATAAACATCATTAACCTGCAGGACAAGCAGGGCATGGCCCGCATGGCTACACACATCACACCATGTGTAGACTTGAACCTGGAGTGATGCAGGACAAGCAGGGCAGAGCCCACATGGCTACACACATCACACCATGTGTAGACTTGAACCTGGAGTGATGCAGGACAAGCAGGGCAGGGCCCACATGGCTACACACATCACACCTTGTGTAGACTTGAACCTGGAGTGATGCAGGACAAGCAGGGCAGGGCCCACATGGCTACACACATCACACCATGTGTAGACTTGAACCTGGTGTGATGCAGGACAAGCAGGGCATGGCCCACATGGCTACACACATCACACCATGTGTAGACTTGAACCTGGTGTGATGCAGGACAAGCAGGGCATGGCCCACATGGCTACACACATCACACCATGTGTAGACCTGAACCTGGTGTGATGCAGGACAAGCAGGGCAGGGCCCACATGGCTACAGACATCACAGCATGTGTAGACTTGAACCTGGTGTGATGCAGGACAAGCAGGGCATGGCCCACATGACTACAGACATCACACCATGTGTAGACTTGAACCTGGTGTGATGCAGGACAAGCAGGGCAGGGCCCACATGGCTACACACATCACACCATGTGTAGACTTGAACCTGGAGTGATGCAGGACAAGCAGGGCATGGCCCACATGGCTACACACATCACACCATGTGTAGACTTGAACCTGGAGTGATGCAGGACAAGCAGGGCATGGCCTGCATGGCTACACACATCACACCATGTGTAGACTTGAACCTGGAGTGATGCAGGACAAGCAGGGCAGGGACCACATGGCTACACACATCACACCATGTGTAGACTTGAACCTGGTGTGATGCAGGACAAGCAGGGCATTGCTAACATGGCTACACACATCACACCATGTGTAGACTTGAACCTGGTGTGATGCAGGACAAGCAGGGCATGGCCCACATGGCTACACACATCACACCATGTGTAGACTTGAACCTGGTGTGATGCAGGACACGCAGGGCAGGGCCCACATGGCTACACACATCACACCATGTGTAGACTTGAACCTGGTGTGATGCACGACAAGCAGGGCAGGGCCCACATGGCTACACACATCACAACATGTGTAGACTTGAACCTGGTGTGATGCAGGACAAGCAGGGCAGGGCCCACCTGGCTACACACATCACACCTTGTGTAGACTTGAACCTGGTGTGATGCAGGACAAGCAGGGCAGGGCCCACATGGCTACACACATCACACCTTGTGTAGACTTGAACCTGGAGTGATGCAGGACAAGCAGGGCATGGCCCACATGGCTACACACATCACACCATGTGTAGACTTGAACCTGGAGTGATGCACGACAAGCAGGGCAGGGCCCACATGGCTACACACATCACACCTTGTGTAGACTTGAACCTGGTGTGATGCAGGACAAGCAGGGCAGGGCCCACATGGCTACACACATCACACCATGTGTAGACTTGAACCTGGTGTGATGCAGGACAAGCAGGGCAGGGCCCACATGGCTACACACATCACACCATGTGTAGACTTGAACCTGGTGTGATGCAGGACAAGCAGGGCAGGGCCCACATGGCTACACACATCACACCTTGTGTAGACTTGAACCTGGTGTGATGCAGGACAAGCAGGGCAGGGCCCACATGGCTACACACATCACACCATGTGTAGACTTGAACCTGGTGTGATGCAGGACAAGCAGGGCAGGGCCCACATGGCTACACACATCACACCATGTGTAGACTTGAACCTGGAGTGATGCAGGACAAGCAGGGCAGGGCCCACATGGCTACACACATCACACCATGTGTAGACTTGAACCTGGAGTGATGCAGGACAAGCAGGGCATGGCCCACATGGCTACACACATCACACCATGTGTAGACTTGAACCTGGAGTGATGCAGGACAAGCAGGGCAGGGCCCACCTGGCTACACACATCACACCATGTGTAGACTTGAACCTGGTGTGATGCAGGACAAGCAGGGCATGGCCCACATGGCTACGTCGTCTCACCTGAAGGCCACCCGGTCACAGAGGGGATACAGCGATCGGAAGAACTGCATGGCGTCGATGCCGTCGGCTGGCTGGTGGTTGAGTTGGTGGACCTTGGTGCCGGCGCTTGCGGAGGGCACGACTACGGGGTCACGGGGACTTCGCTGTGTCTGGAGGATGGACTGGTAGATCTCCCCACTCTTCTCCAGGAACTCTGCAGCACAGAAACATCCCCAGTGATCCATGGTGTTCTATCTCTATTTTATTTTGACAATAATGTATTTTAAAAAGGATACAATTTATACTTATCCTGACTCATTCTCATTGCTTATCTCATTTCTGAAAAGTAGTGGAAACTTCCTGAACATTGTTCCCAGAGAAAAAAACACAACGGCTTTTTTTAGCCGCGCATGGCAGCAAAGGCATCTGACCAATCACTGACTCATCACTCTCTCATTGTCTTTCCTACGGCTGAGATACGTATGAGGTGAAAGAGGGGGCGGATGGGTAGGGTGTGCTTCCCTGTACGAGTCAGGATAAATATAATAATATTTTTACTCAAAAAATGTTTTTTTTATCTTGCTTATCTCAACTTATTTGTGAAAGAGAATGGAAACTTCCTGAACTGTGTTCCCGGAGAACAGAAAAAACAGCTCACCCGAACGCACCTCTGGTCTGTGCATGCACCTAAAAAATATGTGACCAAGCCGGTATTCTTGTCACTCTCATGTTTCCTTACCTAACAGCTGAAACACAGGGAAAGAGGGGAAGGCTGGTTGGGCGCTCCAGCATGTGAGTCAAAATAAGTATACTAGCCACATAAAGAAACTGTGCACGGAGAAAATATATTCTGGATGGAAATACAACACAGCAAGAACAAAATGATGCAGACGCTGTAGCAGCTGAATGATCAGACCATAAGAAAATGTCAACGGGACCTGAACAACATCTTTTACGATGACGTCAGAAGATCAAAATGGAGTAGGGGGTCAAACGACAAAGTCACAAAGTCAATAACGGGTATGACCACCCTGTGCGTGAATCACAGCAGTGCATCGGCGATGCATGGAGTCCACCAAATGGGCATGGAAGGCCTGGGGAATGGCCTGCCATATCCTCCTCAAATCCTGTGCCAAGTCACGGACGTTATCTGGAGAATGTGGAAGACGACGCAGACGGCGCTCCATTTCATCCCACACATGCTCTATTAGGGAGAGATCTGGAGAAATTGCAGGCCATTGCAGTAACATGACATTGTTATGGTGAAGGAAATCCATTGCGACCCTAGCTGTGTGAGGACGAGCGTTGTCCTGTTGAAATGTCAATCCCGGGCCATGACGTTGCAGGAAAGGAATGACCACAGGCCTCAGAATCTGATCTCTGTAGCCAACACCGGTGAGATTGCCCTGAACAACCACCAAAGGGGTTCGGTGCCGTGCTGTTATCCCACCCCAAATCATCACAGAGCCACCTCCAAAACGATTCCTCTCCACAATACAGTTGCGTGCATAACGTTCTCCCAAACGCCGGTAGACACGTTGGCGCCCGTCACTGTGGGAAATGTTGAACCTCGATTCATCTGTAAAGACAACATTTCTCCACCATATTCTAGGTTGGCGAACATGATTTCGACACCATCTTAGACGGTTGACTCGATGACGGTGTGTCAGGATGGAACGTATGGCAGGGCGTTGTGGTCGAATCCCGTACTGGCGTAAACGATTCCTGACAGTGTTGGGATGGATATGGCGCAGTACAGGAATTGTCTGGGACGTCGTTACTGCCGTTTGGAACCTGTGTCGGAGATGTGTAACTCGAATCCATCTGTCCTGTCTTGGCATCGTTACTTGGGGACGTCCTGAACGTGGGTGGTCGGCAACGTCATTTGTGTTCTGATAACGCCTCACCAATGCCGATATCGTGTTACGATGGCATTGGAAATGTGTTGACACCTGTTGTTGTCTCATTCCCGCTCGGATCATTCCAATGGCTTCATGACGCTGTGCAGCTGTCAATCTTGGCATGATTTGCTTGTGATATGCTTGTGTCTGCGCCTGAGAAGTTTTGAATTTTTGAATGACCACAGATCATGCTTTCCAAAGTGACAGTGAATTTTGAGTTGCACATGCTGTTTACAGCTGCACAGGATGCACGTGCAGTAACACATTGCACGTCCATAGGCCCCCATCAATGACGTCATATCGCATGGCACGTGCATGAGCGTTTGAATGTCTCCAATAATTGCTGTGTTCAAACCTAGCTTTCATATATGGACGGTGTGCCCTTATATCTATATTTTCTCCGTGCACAGTTTCTTTATGTGGCTAGTATATAAATGATATTTTTACTCTAACAAATACATATTTTACCTTATCCTGACTCATACTATTGCTTGAATCCCACGGAAGGCCATGGGTTCCACCTGTGCACGTGGGTCAGATCGAGATCTATTCTTATAAGGCATTCGGAAGGTGATTCTCAATTCTTCTTATATCATTATGGGGTACCATCTCCTTCCTGGGAAAGAGAGCTGTAAATTTGATAGATTTAGTGGGTTTTGTAAAGTTCGCTAAGGAAAATATTTTCCCGCTCACTTTAAACGTAACCGGATGTCAGGAAGTCTGCATGATAAAGGGTGAGTATTCCGTGGGAAGGTGTATCTTCTAGCAGGTACTGAAAGTAGTTGTGTGAGAGTGGCTGCTCTCATCCAGAAGATGGTTGTTGTGGATCCAGGCCTGCTGCCTTGTGGGCTCTGAGAGTGGCTGCTCTCATCCAGAAGGAGAGGGTTGTTGTGGATCCAGGCCTGCTGCCTTGTAGGCTCTGAGAGTGGCTGCTCTCATCCAGAAGGAGATGGTTGTTGTAGATCCAGGCCTGCTGCCTTGTAGGCTCTGAGAGTGACTGCTCTCATCCAGAAGATGGTTGTTGTGGATCCAGGCCTGTTGCCTTGTAGGCTCTGAGAGTGGCTGCTCTCATCCAGAAGATGGTTGTTGTGGATCCAGGCCTGCTGCCTTGTGGGCTCTGAGAGTGGCTGCTCTCATCCAGAAGATGGTTGTTGTGGATCCAGGCCTGCTGCCTTGTAGGCTCTGAGAGTGACTGCTCTCATCCAGAAGGAGATGGTTGTGGATCCAGGCCTGCTGCCTTGTAGGCTCTGAGAGTGGCTGCTCTCATCCAGAAGGAGATGGTTGTTGTGGATCCAGGCCTGCTGCCTTGTGGGCTCTGAGAGTGACTGCTCTCATCCAGAAGGAGATGGTTGTTGTGGATCCAGGCCTGCTGCCTTGTAGGCTCTGAGAGTGGCTGCTCTCATCCAGAAGGAGATGGTTGTTGTGGATCCAGGCCTGCTGCCTTGTAGGCTCTGAGAGTGGCTGCTCTCATCCAGAAGGAGATGGTTGTTGTGGATCCAGGCCTGCTGCCTTGTAGGCTCTGAGAGTGACTGCTCTCATCCAGAAGATGGTTGTTGTGGATCCAGGCCTGCTGCCTTGTAGGCTCTGAGAGTGGCTGCTCTCATCCAGAAGATGGTTGTTGTGGATCCAGGCCTGCTGCCTTGTGGGCTCTGAGAGTGGCTGCTCTCATCCAGAAGATGGTTGTTGTGGATCCAGGCCTGCTGCCTTGTAGGCTCTGAGAGTGACTGCTCTCATCCAGAAGGAGAGGGTTGTGGATCCAGGCCTCCTGCCTTGTAGGCTCTGAGAGTGGCTGCTCTCATCCAGAAGGAGAGGGTTGTGGATCCAGGCCTGCTGCCTTGTGGGCTCTGAGAGTGGCTGCTCTCATCCAGAAGGAGATGGTTGTTGTGGATCCAGGCCTGCTGCCTTGTGGGCTCTGAGAGTGACTGCTCTCATCCAGAAGGAGATGGTTGTTGTGGATCCAGGCCTGCTGCCTTGTAGGCTCTGAGAGTGGCTGCTCTTATCCAGAAGATGGTTGTTGTGGATCCAGGCCTGCTGCCTTGTGGGCTCTGAGAGTGGCTGCTCTCATCCAGAAGATGGTTGTTGTGGATCCAGGCCTGCTGCCTTGTAGGCTCTGAGAGTGACTGCTCTCATCCAGAAGGAGAGGGTTGTGGATCCAGGCCTGCTGCCTTGTGGGCTCTGAGAGTGGCTGCTCTCATCCAGAAGGAGATGGTTGTTGTGGATCCAGGCCTGTTGCCTTGTGGGCTCTGAGAGTGACTGCTCTCATCCAGAAGGAGAGGGTTGTTGTGGATCCAGGCCTGCTGCCTTGTAGGCTCTGAGAGTGGCTGCTCTCATCCAGAAGGAGATGGTTGTTGTGGATCCAGGCCTTCTGCCTTGTAGGCTCTGAGAGTGGCTGCTCTCATCCAGAAGGAGATAGTTGTTGTGGATCCAGGCCTGCTGCCTTGTAGGCTCTGAGAGTGGCTGCTCTCATCCAGAAGATGGTTGTTGTGGATCCAGGCCTGCTGCCTTGTAGGCTCTGAGAGTGACTGCTCTCATCCAGAAGATGGTTGTTGTGGATCCAGGCCTGCTGCCTTGTAGGCTCTGAGAGTGGCTGCTCTCATCCAGAAGATGGTTGTTGTGGATCCAGGCCTGCTGCCTTGTGGGCTCTGAGAGTGGCTGCTCTCATCCAGAAGATGGTTGTTGTGGATCCAGGCCTGCTGCCTTGTAGGCTCTGAGAGTGACTGCTCTCATCCAGAAGGAGAGGGTTGTGGATCCAGGCCTGCTGCCTTGTGGGCTCTGAGAGTGGCTGCTCTCATCCAGAAGGAGATGGTTGTTGTGGATCCAGGCCTGTTGCCTTGTGGGCTCTGAGAGTGACTGCTCTCATCCAGAAGGAGAGGGTTGTTGTGGATCCAGGCCTGCTGCCTTGTAGGCTCTGAGAGTGGCTGCTCTCATCCAGAAGGAGATGGTTGTTGTGGATCCAGGCCTTCTGCCTTGTAGGCTCTGAGAGTGGCTGCTCTCATCCAGAAGGAGATAGTTGTTGTGGATCCAGGCCTGCTGCCTTGTAGGCTCTGAGAGTGGCTGCTCTCATCCAGAAGATGGTTGTTGTGGATCCAGGCCTGCTGCCTTGTAGGCTCTGAGAGTGACTGCTCTCATCCAGAAGATGGTTGTTGTGGATCCAGGCCTGCTGCCTTGTAGGCTCTGAAAGTGGCTGCTCTCATCCAGAAGGAGAGAGTTGTTGTGGATCCAGGTCTGCTGCCTTGTAGGCTCTGAGAGTGGCTGCTCTCATCCAGAAGGAGATGGTTGTTGTGGATCCAGGCCTGCTGCCTTGTAGTCTGAG